TGTCCATATCTCCAACAAAGATGTTGAACAGTACCGGCCCAAGTACCAACCCCTGAGGGGCTCCACTCGTCACCATTCTCCACTCAGACCACAACTCTTTGAGTGTGACCATGCAGCCAGTTCCTTATCCACCAAGTGGTCCATCCATCAAACCCAAGTGTACCCAGTTTAGAGACAAGGATGTCATGCGGGACCGTGTCAAACGCCTTGCACAAGTTCAGGTAGGTGACATCAGTTGCTTTAGCTTTATCTACCAATGCTGTAATCCCATCATAAAAGGCCACCAGATTGGTCAGGCAGAGCTGTACAGCATGTAGCATCTAGATGATTGAGCTGTTGCAGCAATAGGCCCAGGAAAGTTATTTAGAAGACAGGACTGGAATGGCCTATTTAGATTCGTCATATACTTGGGATTATACAGACTCTCCTTTAGTCTGTATCCTTTTGCAGCTGGAAATAATATGAAGAATGTGGCAACTACTCCCATATTAAAGATTGGCAAGTTTTTCTCCTTGTCCAATCTATTTTCATAATTTAGTGGCTGGAAAGGCTTAAACCCTTAGAGAAATGAATCAAATGAATCAGAATGTTTTACCTGAATGTTTTACTTTTTATTTTTTCATAATAGAAAAAAATAAATCTATTTTGATGAAATAGCAACAGTATAATTTGTAATGAAATGGCAACAGTATAAATACAAGATTCAGATAAAACACACAGCATCTAGATAAGCTGTAAGTCATTTTTATTCTTCTCTTGCCTTGAATACAGTCTTGTGAGAGCTTCACTGAAAAGCCTGTGGCAAACAAGGACCAGGACCTCTCAAGCTACATGCCAGGATTTCAAAAGCTTCCCCTTTGGGATTCACAGCACGTCTGTTTAGTTTGATAGAATGTGTATATTTATCTATTGTAACGTGTGTTTCCTGTGAAGTCATTCTATGGGGCTTCAGGCTGGCTTAGGGAAGCAATTTACGTAAGAAGAATGAGTTGTTGGCTTATCAGCTTGCCAAGAGTAATGCATATGGGATTTTTATGGCTTGGCACAGGCTTTCTCAGTAACAGTATCCTCATACTGTTCTTGATCATTCTGACTATATCGACACTTCTCTAACAAGAGCGTGACTTATGTGTAGTACAATCAAAACACATTTGTCTTCTGGATTCTGGTCTTAATACAGAAATCCAGCTCAAGGCTTCTTTTCATGCTTAGCAGAGCCAAAGGATCTTATTTCAAGATGACTCAGCTCTTTACAAGTTAGATGAACCAAGTCTTTTTGCCCTCCTTTACACTTCAGTAGGATAACAACCTACCTGATTTGGTCAGCTGAAACTATTTAACTCTTTCTTAATAGTTTGTGAAAGGAACAACACATAAGTCAAGGTTCTGAAGTGTCATAACATTTAGCGATGCAAAAAGTCATTATTGTTCAGACTATCTTGCCCACTGCAGTACAATTATACTTTTAAGTTGAAAATTGCAGTCTTAGTCTTTTCTCTCCCTCTGCCCCCCCAAGTCTCTATGCTATTTTTCTTCTGTTAGAGGATTAGATTTGGTCAACTGCCATTATGGTAAAAATCACTGCCAGATCTTTGACATTACTGGATGAGGAAAAGAATTTGGAAACTAACCTATTGCAGCATGTATATTGGCATTTAGGAAGTGAGATTCTAATCAAACAGCAGATTTTGGTGTGCTGCAAGCTTCTTCCTGAACCTGAAATTGTTGAAGCTGCCTCTATCACCTTCTAGTTTCTATGATACAGAAAGTGCCATGCTTTAAATACTCAGATTCCTACCACTGTATTATCTGAAAATCCCTCACTGAGATTGTGTGAACAGAACGTGTGTGTTAAGTGGATTATGCAAATGAGCAATATTATTACTTTTTAGTGCCTCCCCATGCTCTTAATGTTTCAGAATTGTATAAATAAGGACATGTTCCTATTTCTTTTTACCTTAAAATTATATTAAATGTTTATCACATGTTTGGTTTAGATGGGATGTTAAGTGAAATCCAAAGTATGTACTTTTAATCGGAGAGTCATGAAGAGTCTGCCTTCAGTTCAAAAGTCCCCTTCCTGAATTTTACTAGCTCACTATATCCTTTCTTCAGGTTCTGGTGTGTGATTTCAATAGTTTATGTATTTAAATAACCTGATGTTTCCTGTGAGAGACTATCAGAACCTTTTTTTTCAATACTAATGTTATGATGCAGTATGGTCTCTTTATATATGCTTTTCCTTCAGCTGGATGAACACTTTGGCACACACCAGAGTCACCATACACATCACCAGTATTTTGCAGGATTTATGATTCTCCCTGTTTTCCAAGGGGCTGAATGCAAAGCCCTTCACACAAAGCACAGCAATACCATTTCACAGTTCCAGAAGCATTCAAAGTCACCTTAGCCAGTACAGTTTTAGTACAAAGCATTTTAAGTTTAGCAAGAGTACCGAGGCTGCAAATCTGACATAGGATCTTGCACGTGAGAAAAAAGGTCATGTTTTGTCTTCAGAAGAGTCACTGAAGAAGGAGGTTGAGCCCTGGGAACAAGTTGAGGTGTCAAGGTAGCTCCGGTCAGAGAGAAGCCTGTTGACAAGCCTGCTTGCGTTGAAAGAGGTCATGAAGGATGATCCCGTGGAGAGTTCCTATTTTTACCTAATCCAGATCTGGAGGGACCTTTAAGAGGTTTATGGTAGTCTCACAGCTCCTGCTTCGTGGTCGAATTCTAGCTGCAGGTGATCCAGGGAACCTAGGAGCAAACAGTGCGGCGTGGAGGGAGAGGAAGGGCAAACAGTACCATGGGTGCCGGGGAATCAACTGATGATCTTGGTGCAATAGATAACAGTCAATGGTACAAGAAATTTATGAACCAATGCCCCTCTGGGCAACTTACTCTCCATGAGCTTAAGGCAATACTGGGTCTACGTGATATGAACCCTCAGGCAAACACGTATGTTGAGCAGGTGTTTCGCGTCTTTGACACAAATCGGGTAAGAAATTTTCTTGGACTATTTTCATCATGAAATGTATATGTTAGCATGAATAGTAGAGGACGTTGGCCTAGTGATATCAAATAAAAAGCCACAGGTAACTAGAATTGGTTTTTGGGGTTTTTTTTCCCTTATTCATTTCCAGCAGGTGTGCAGCATTGCTTAAACTGAGAAAACTAGATTTGTTGGACTCTTTTCAAGGTCATTCAGGTTGTTTAAGAGAAGAGCTCTTCAAAACTCTACTAAACAAGTTTTATTCCTTGTAGGTGGGGTTGGACAAGAGTCTTAAAACTGTCATGTTCCCCCCTTTCATTACTGGAAGGTTGTGTGAATATTTCTGTCTTCACTCTCCTTTTTAAAAATATTTTCCCCACCATTTCTGAAGCAAAGTCTCTTCAGATCTATTGGGCTGCATTTTCAGACAGTTAAAATGAATCTACTATTTTCTTTATTTTACTTTCTCCATTTTTATTCCTATTTGGAAAGTTTGAAGAAGAGTAATATCACCCCTTAAAAAAAAGCAACTTTTAAAGCTGAGCAGTGGAAGGAAGGTAGACTTGAATTATTGCATAGAAATAATTGCACAGAAATCAGAAGTCTGTGTTACTTCTAAAAGATAAATGGAAAGAATCAAGAAACGCAGTGGGAAAAGTACAGTCAAAAACAGAAATAGGCAGCAATAAAATAAGTAGATACCAGCTTTCCAGGGGGGGGAAGAAATACGTGAAATGTAAAACAAACAAAGAATCAAATTAACAAACTTAAAGTACAAGTATAAAGACATGGAAATAAATGTTCAAAGAGCAGGAGGCAGAAATGGTGTTTCATCCCTCCTTCGTACATTAATTGAAACCCTTGGGGAATTGAAATGCAAGTGGTGGAGAAAAAGTGTTGAAGGGAAGTTAAAATCTTAGCAAGAGATGCATTTTCCATCAGAAATGGAGCTTGGAGAAAAACAACACATGGGAATAAATGTGGTCGTTTGCTCAGCTGCAGTAAGAAGAAGAGGCTGGCAACGGCAGCCACAAGATCCAGCCCATCAGGGTGTCTCTCAGCAGGGTTTGCCTCTCCCACTGGCCCAGAAAAGCACTTGGACAGGGATTACAAAACAGAAATATATCACCACGCTCTTTAGCGACCACAACAAACCCTTGCCTTGCTAACTGGAGCCACTAGGAGATGCAAGTTGCTCAGTGTCTGCTCGGTTTGGGAAAGACTTCAGACACCCAGAAGAACAACATCAAAACAACGGTACCTAATTAGGGAAGACAGCTTCTCCTTTTAATTAAACGTTTACTGATCTCTCTCTATTGGCTCAGTTTTCCCTCTTCCAAAATGCTTAACTCAGTGAATTTTATAGCTGGTGAGGAAAAAAACAAACACAAAACAAAACACAAAAAACCCCCCAAAACCAAACAAAAACCCCACAAAAAACACTAACAAAAAAAGGAATGTTTTAATATCCAAAGTTCGCCCAAATAGCTGTGCTGTGTAGGCAGATAAAAACAGGAAGATGGGACTGAGAGTTAAGGATCTCTATATAACATTATTAAGTGGAAAAATCCAAGTTGTCTAATCTGAAATTCTACATGAAAACAGCCTGTGGCATCAAAATGTCATTGGGGTTGGGGTTAATTCAAAGATATTACACTTAACACAAAGATTTTTTTGGGTACTTTTAAAAAAGAATTTATTAACTTAAATAACTTTTTATAAATTTAAACTAACAGTAGCTACAGATGGTTGAGAATCAAGTAATTAAAAAATTCTCAAAATTAAGTCCTTTTGGGTTTCCCGCCCCCCAGATTACCAGAATGCAAAAGTTCAGGGGTTTATTTTATTTTCATTTTTCCCAGTTGGAGTCAGGACACTTCATTGACCTCCCAGATTTTCCCTGGATGACAGGATTCTTTCCTTTCATTTCTAATAGCCACTTAAAAGCAATAGTTTAACAATTATTACAGTGGCTTTCTGTCCTTAATCAACCAGGGAATTTGCACTTCCCTGATGCTGACAATACAAAGCACAGCCCAAGCTCTTGCCAACCCTTGAGCTCAGGAAAATCAGTGGATTTACATTAGCTACAAAAAATAAAGTATTCCTGACTTATCTTCCTGACAAAGGAGGATGCAGCTCCTTGGCAATGAGAAACTTTGATAAAAATAACAGTTTCAGGAGAGGACCCTTATTATATTAAGTTGTTAACTCCAAATGGAGAATGTAAAGTTGGTATCTTGGAGCACAAAAACCTACTGCACTACAAATGGTTCTGAGGGAAGTACAAGACTTCGTATTTCATTATGCATGGTCTGCTGGTTACTTATAGATACTGGTGCACTGTAGCGTGTGTGGCTAACAACACCCACAAAATCACGTCTGTAAGTGGTTAGTTTAAGGACAAAAAAAAAAGCCTATTGCTTATCTCATCACTAGGACATGTACCATTGTGCTACACTCATAATCTCCAAGTCAGCAACAATGAAGCAGTAGTACAAAAAGCAATCAAACATAATAGGCTTCTACAGATGTATTTCTAAATGGTCATTTCCTTCTGTTTTGGTTTTAAATCCTTACACAAAGCCAAGGAGAGCATTGTTTGTAGAACTATAGTAGCAGGCACACAAGGAATGTGATTATGAACTAACAAACTTGTGCCAGTGTTTGATCAGTGTTTTCAATGAGAGAATAATTAAGTGATGGTATGGATATCCCCATGCACTTTGCTGTGTACGCCATGGTTAAAATGTCATAGAAAGTAGCAATGACACCTCTTTTCCTCATCCTCATGCTTGAGTCTGCAAGAATTTGGTGAGTCCTCACCTCTCAGGCAGGGAGATTAGAGGTTGCATCCTACTAGAAACTTGCCTCATTGGGGCAAAAGCTTTCTGGTTTTGAAAAAGGGGCAAAAGCTTTCTGGTTTTGAGAGGAAAACAATCCTTAAAAGCAAGCTACCATTCTAATGAAGATACAGGAGGAGGAAAGGCTAGCTTGGTCCTCCTCCTTGTAACATGCATAGAAGGAGGAAAGCAGAATTCAGAAGCTAAACACTCATTCAAATAGTTAGAAAAGTCTAAGGTAGGCCATAGGGAGAAGATGGAGATACTTTGGACCTCACAGTTTCAGACTTAAAAAAAAAAAAAAAAGTTAAAGCCTTCATGGGAGACACTCATTCAAATAGATAGAAAAGTCTAAGGTCGGCCATAGGGAGAAGATGGAGATGCTTTGGACCTCACAGTTTCAGACTTAAAAGAAAAAAAAAAAAAAGTTAAAGCCTTCATGGGGTAAATTTTCTGACCAGGATAGTCCATTCCAGCTCTTCCTGGAAGATATCCCCCTCTTTCTACAGTTTTGTATCCTGCCCTGATGACTCTCTTTCATTTGGGCAGCCTGGGTAGTCCATCTGAAATCACCTCAGGCAGGTCTGCTTGAGCTGGGAGGTAGGTTGCATTTACCGAAGGAAGCATAAATGGACTCTGAAGATTAAATGCAAAGTGCAGAAGCAACAGCTGAGTCACACGGGAGAGAGAAATCACATTTTTCAGAGCAAATGGCAAGTAAAAATTGCTGAGGAAGGAAAAATGGAGTGGGGCTGGAGTGAGCCAGAGTGGATTAAAAAATCAAGAGGAAAAGACAAAGTTAATTGGCAAAAATGACACAACTTTTAGATAAAAAAATCTGTAGATAAGCTTTTTATTCAAATGCATTTAAAACTTGGTATTTGCTACTTCAGGCACTGGCAGTTGTCTTTTTTGTCTTACACTTCAAAGAGGTATCATTCAGTTGAATCTATCACAGTGGAAAGATTTGTGACCTCCTTGTTTCACAACACAGGGATTTCGTATCTGCTGCTTACAGTCATGTTACTGCTGCTTTCATAATACCCAAGAGAAACAGAAGGTCATCTTTATTATTTTACTTTTCTGCCATTTTTTTATCAAGGTAGTTCCTGATCACCCTGCTGTGAAGTTTTTTGGGTTTAGCTCTTTTTCATTTGTAAAGAAATCTAGATGACACCATCACTTCCAAAACTGATGAGATTTTATACCATTTAAGAGCAGGATTAATGATTTTTTTTTTTTCCTCTCATGTTTACATACAGAGAAAACTGTTTACCTTGCAGTGTGCATTTTTAATGTGACCCACATTTTTGCAGTTTAGCAACTGTGTCTTTGAACCAGCAATCTTTGTTACAGGTCCATCATTCTCAGTGCAAGTACAAAGTCCCATTGTTGCCTGTTTGTATCTTTTCTTTAATTCCCATAATATTGTGCAGACTCCAGAAAGCTTCTTGGCATCTCTAATGTAGATCTCCATAGATACTGTAATTTTATCTTCATCTTTTAGCATCAATTCAGTTTGCTACAGATAGCTCATTTGGAATTGCCTCACTGTACCCATTGTTTCAACGTTCTTCAAAACAGCTTTGCTGTATTAATTTCATCAGTTCAGCTCCACATTGTTATGAATTTTTCTATTTTTATTTATAAAAGTAGAAATGTTCCATTCCCATTGGCTTCAGGAACAGGTGATTTCTGTAGAATTTCTACTATCTCAGCACATTTTTTCTGTGAGTTTATTAAGTGCTATCAAACTATGCAGTGGGTTATAAATTTTAGCCCTTTTGTGCTCCATAAAACTCACCTTCCTTTTTTGTCAGGTGTAATATCAGCTAATATATACTATTCCAGTCCCCCACCAGGAGTGACGGATGCTGTGAGACTGAAGTATAAATCAAATCACTTTTTCCCCAGGCATTTTTGCTGTCTTTTGCAGGTATTTTAGTTATTGTTATTAAACTAAAGGCATCCTGAAAAACAGGTATTAAATTAAGGTTGGAATTATTTTAAAGTAACATTCTCTTGTAAGATTTTACCAGAATACACAAAATCTGACAAAAATCTGACTTCAAGTCAGTGCAGCAGTCTCTCTCATGTGCCTCCATCACCATGGGTACACTTCCCCAAGACTTGCTATCTGGAAGCAAGTAGCAGTAGTATGTT